ATATATATATACTGTATATACATACATACACACACACACTTTATTAATTTATTACATGATATGTAATTACGAAATGCCAACTTAATGCTAACTCTTTTCTGATTGGATCAGTATCTCCACCATAAATATGGCCTGGATTTCCGATGCTTGCGATACCCAGGAGTCGTTTCTGCCCACACCAAGCCAGGAGGAGGCACTACTGGTAACCAGCCACTCTGCATTTCCTCACTTACAGACACAATCTTTAGTTGTACAAAAAGACACACACCTGCATTCACCCACTCATTCATAGCTTTGTCATTTCTTTGCAGTAAACAACAGCTGACCTATTTAATTGTATATGTCCTCTTTTCCTCAGATTATGCTGTCCAGATATTTCATGATGCCCTCAGCACCGGCCACCATGAATGTTACTTGCGCTCCAACACTCGGCTTCCCATGATGCACATTTCTGATTGTCACAGGGCCACCATTGAGTTCATGCAGGCCCCGGAAAGCCAACTTTCCCTGCGTACTTACAACATCGCAGCCATGAGCTTCAAACCTGAAGAAGTGGCAGAAGAGATTCGCAAACACCTGCCCCACCTGAGGGTCACGTACAATCCTGATACCATTCGGCAGACTATTGGTAAGAACAGCAGTGAAAGAAAGAATGACCTTTTGAAAAAGTCTTAAATCATTTGGAATATTTCGACATAAAAGAAAAAATTCTAAAAAAGTTACTCACCCTCAGGCCATCCAAGATATAGATGAGTTTGTTTGTTCATTGGAACATATTTGGAGAGATTTACCATCACTTACTCACCAATAGATCCTCTGCAGTGAATGGGTACCGTCAAAATGAGAGTTTAAACAGCTGATAAAAACATCACAATAATCCACACGACTCCAGTCTATCAATTAAAGTCTTGTGAAGCGAAAAGCTGTGTTTTTAAGAAACATATCCATTGTAGCGAATCAGCTCAAAGGGGAAATATGAATAATTAATTATAACTAGTTATAATTAATAATAAATATTTAGATCTGCTGTAAGTATTTACTTGACCTCTCAGTGTCAACTGTCTGTCAATTCTAAGAACGTTCATTTCCTGGTTAAGGAAAATAACTTTCTTACTGTACTTCAGACTGAACTGGCTATGTGTTGGAGCCCACCGGGCACGCCCGCACCAGCTCAGGTTCTCTACACGGCCCGCGATCAGAAGGTTTTAGCAGAAGACTTAGCAGAAGAAAACAACTAGCATAACATGGGCGGAACTGTGCGTGAGCCTTTTATGGTCTGAGAAGATTCACACCTCTCAGGATGGGCTTGTCCAATGAGAAAGGCTGAAATTCCAAGCGGGAGGTTGGAAATACTGGGGAGTTTTATGACCCTTTGTGTGAGAGCATGGTCATTTGCATATGGAACTCGAATCAAAATTACTAAAGATTCTTAGAACACTAATATATTGCCTATGTACCAACATATAATATACACGCTCGTTTAGATCATCAGAAGACGAATTCATAGATACTAAACATGGTAGGATTACATAACAAAAAAAATTGTGTCTGATTGGTCCAGACGCTACACCATCATAAAGCATTAACTTTAAACCGTTGCTTCTGACCAAAATATGAGTTCATAATCCGTAATAATGGTTCCTCCAGTGAAACAAGTCTATCCCCTGTTGTCCTCTCACATATGTTTTGGACTGTTTTTGCTTGTAAACAGTGCTGATCTGTGCATATTTCTCTCCTGATTCAGATGAGCTTTTCGCTTCACAAGACAATAATTGATGGACTGGAGTTGTATGGATTATTGTGATGTTTTTATTTGTTTGAACTTATTCTGACGGTACCCATTCACTGCAGAGGATTCATTGCTGAGCAAGTGATGTAATGCTAAATTTCTCCAAATCAGTTCCACTGAACAAACAAACTCATCTACATCTTGGATGGCCCGGGGCTGAATACATTTTCAGCAAATTTTCATTTTTGGGTGAACTATTCCTTTAATATTAATGTACTTGTTTGATTGTAGAAACAATGTCCATCTTGGTCATTGTCTATCAGTGTGTGTTTTTCTTGTATAATGAAAAAAAAACATTTTTGCAATGATCCAAATGTTCATAAAATATATTGTTCACTCTGTAGCGGACAGCTGGCCAGTGCGGTTTGATGACTCTAACGCACGTCAGGACTGGGGCTGGAAGCCTGCGTACGGCCTGTCAGAGCTGGTCACAGACATGCTGGCCTCCATCCGTGAAAAAAGAACCAATGCAGGACTACCTGTCAGCTAGCAAGTTTCTCAGGGACTGATACACAGATCACCAGCACCTTTCCAGTACATTTCCAAATTCTGACACTGACTGCTGACACTGACAGTTCTCTAAATATGTATGCTTGTGAAGAAAACATGTTAACCAACAGTGAAAACTCACATTCTCTCACCGCTCAGGAGACTCTGTCTTTCTTCTCTGTGATCTGTTCTTACATAGTTTTTAAGCTGTCATGGGACAGGGGAAAACAAGGAAACAACAAAATTCTGATGAATACAGTATAATAATAATAATAATAATAATAATATCATTGCACACATTAGAGATGAAACTGTCCAATTTAATTATTTTAGAGACATCATACACTATATTAAAATAAAAATTCTGGCTGGCCCAAACTTCAATGATCTGATGTTATAATTAAAACTCTGCTTTCCTAATCTTAACCAATCATGACATTCTGTTTGGGAGGGGTTGGATTTTGACCCCACAAATGCTCCATTTCTACAAATACAGTAAGGACCACTAGACACCTCGCTCTGTGCTCTAGTCTAGACTACTCCATGTATTGTGTACAAGAGGAAGTGTCTCAGTTTGAGCACAGCCATGGGCAGAAAATACTTTAAACCACTACTACCTTTAGTGTGAATCAAAAGACTGCCTTTTTTCCAACTGCTATGGCTGAGGAAATCACAGTTGCCTGAATTTTGGGTTCTGTTAAACCCACTTTTGTCTGTATTGGCTTTTTTTTTTTATTTAGGGTCAGTTATCAAATGACTCTGGGTTCACAATGCATAGTGTGGTGGTGTGAATTAAGTACTTAATCGCTCAGCATTGCTGATGTATTATAATATACTGTGAAGAGTTTTTTTTAACACATTTTTTGTTAACTCAGAAGAGCAGAACTACTGGATAAAACACCCAAAGCGGCCTTGCAATAGTAAAGAGGGTGTTCTTTGGCTTTGGCCTGTCTGAAAGTCTTAGGGTGCTTTCACACATGGCCTGTTGTTTCGGAACCTGGCGCGTTTCCCCCCCTAGCTCGGTTCGTTTGGGCATATGTGAACACGGCAATCGCGCCCGGATCCGCGCCAAAACAATCGGTCCGAGATCGCCTTAGTCTGCCTTCTGTATAGGCTACTTGTGCAGACAAATAAAAATGACCTATTTAAGACTATATATAGAATTACTCACCTTTCTTCCAAAAGCATGTGTGATTTCCGTGTTAAAAGTTGAAACTGCCTTAATTTTCAGTTATTATTTAACCTCAAAAGTTGTTAACTTATCTCATTAAGAACTGGTGGAAAATTGCAGTGTATGTCAAATAAATGGCTTTAATACAGCAAACAGTTTATGTATGTCTTTGTTCATTGTGACCTCTGCAGTAGTCACAAATAATAAACTCTAACAAAAATAACATGAAATAAAATTTGTTTAATATTTCATTTTCATGATAAATTCACCATATTATAAAACATTATGACACTAAATTAAAAATAAAAACAAAAATCAATCAAGGTAGTATTAAATCGATTTGAACAGGCACCGGAAGTGAGGTAAAAGCTCCCCCGGCGCAGTGGACTGTGGGACATCGTGCCATATTGACACACGATAGAAATGGACGCGGGGTTTTTCCGCGTAAGTCTTATATTCTTTTACAACTCTCGTACTATAATTGTCGAATATGTTGTTTTGCATGTGTTATTTGTCAGCTGGTTGATTAGTTGGTTATTTTAAGGCTGTATTTGTTGTGTTCATTGGCGTGTGGCTGTAATGGCGGCTGCGTGAGAGAACCAGACAATACTCAACAGATTAAACAGGAACAACAGATTTAAGGAACCCAGCGCGTTGAATTTCATATTATCGCCCTTATTCTTACAGCCAAAATCCACTGTAACATTATACAGTCAGCTGTGCTCTGGTTAGCGTAGTTAAATGAAAATACAGACTGAAACCGTAACCCAGACGGACAAATCCCATGCTCTTCTTATACTGCGTAATCGTATGTGTGTGTTTGTATACATGTCAATATCCTACTCTAATGGTGAAATAATTCAGTTTATTTTCAGTCTCATACTCCAAATTGTATATTCACTTCAGATACTGAAAATATGAAGTTATATCATATATTGTGTTTTAATTATGAATTCTTATTTCAGGGCACTAGTGCGGAGCAGGATAACCGCTTCAGCAACAAACACAAGAAGCTGTTGAAGCAACTGAAGTTTGCAGAATGTCTGGAGAAGAAGGTAGAAAATATGGAAATACGTGTTTGTTTGTTTTTTTTGCAAGTGTGTTCATAACACCTTGTTACCATAAACGTATTGCATATTGTGGTTCCCTAGATTTACAATAAATGGTAAGTTCAACCGTGTAAGAATGCTGTTCTATTCATCAAAGATTCCTAGAAGAATTCAAGAAAAAATATCACAGTTTCCAAATATAATTTTAAGTAGCACAACTCTTTTCAGAATTGATGATAATAGTTTTTGAAGGAGCATGTGACACCAAAACATTTTTTGAAACCAAATTAAGGTTGACCTATAAGTTACCTGCATATATATATATATATATATATAGAAAATCCTGTTCTCATGATTGTTTCAAGATTGTTTTCTGATTCGTTATTAGGTGGATATGACCAAGGTCAACCTGGAAGTCGTGAAGCCCTGGATAACCCAGCGAGTGACGGAGATCCTTGGCTTTGAGGATGATGTCGTCATCGAATTTGTCTTCAACCAGCTGGAGGAAAAGGTAGACGGCCGCTCTGCTCTTCCCGTTGTCTTTTCACACATGCTGCAGTTATATATTAGATGTGTTTTGTTCTTTGGGAGGATGAGAGAAGGTTTGAAGTTCAGTGAATAACTGCTGACAGTTATTTGAAACATTTGCCATGCGTAGATGTAACAGCAGAAAACATCTAACATCACTGTCTTTAAGTGTCTGTCTGGTTTTAAAAAGACAGAAAAGCGGGTAAAAATGATATTCTCTCTCTCTGAAGATATGATTTGTGACACCGTTCCTCCTGAACAGCAATGTTCTAATGTTGATGTGATTTATGATTTAAAAGGCCTGAACCAATATGGATCTTATTCCTTGCATCTGAAGTATAGCACCAACTCCTAATTAGATCTCACCTGAGCCCAAAGTGTCTCTGAATCCAACTCTCCCTTGATGATGAGCTTTATTTTTTGAGGTGAGTTATAAGCAGGGCTTGACATTGTGCCAGTGGTAGTCATTTCAGCTTTATCATTTGTGCCTTTCTGTTTCAGAGTCAAAGTTTAGCAGTACATCTTAAACCCAAAGGCCTGATTACCTTTTTTGAATATGACATACAACCATTAAAGAATAAAAACGAAAAACATAACATTGCATGTGAAACGATAGCACAGTACGACACTAGTGCTAGATGCCCATTTTATTTAAATATAATTAATTAGTCAATACGTGTTATTCTCAGTCTCGGTGAATAGCTCCACTATCAGTTATAAAACAATACATTGGTTTCTTGTATGTTTGTGCATTTGCGCAATATGAAACAAAAAAACAACGCGAGACATGACATTTTGCGTTTTCATTAGTTTAGCTAAGCTCTGTTTATTAGTCAATGTTTTAGTCTCTAAAGATTTGATTTTCAGGAAGCTTTCGATTGGATTCCAGAGAGGTATTTGCTCCTATTAATGATACATAAAGGTTTTTCCTTAAACTTAAAGAGGTGCTTTCAGTTTTTGTAATGTCATAGCCATACAATATCTTAAAGGAATGCTTCAGGATCAGTACTGGATAAGTTTGATCAACAGCGTTTGTGAAATAATATCAGTTTCCTCAGAATAATTACAGGATGGCTTAAAATTATTATGTCTTTTTAAAAATGACCAAAATCTCTGTCTCCCCAATATATATATTTTTTAAGAAAAACATTTAGAATTTTGCATCTTATAGAATCACAAAATCAATCATGTTTAATTAATTGAATATGTAAACACTCCAAAGTTTGAAAACAAGCAGCATTGTCGTAATTTCAACAGAAATACCAGAGGAAATATCTCGGTGACAGTGACTCAAAATGGTTGAGAACCACTGTTCTAGGGTTTACAAAAATATATCTAAAATTTGTGAAAATTGCTATAGAAATAAATTTGAAAGAAATTAAAAATGTTCCTCTTCTGTTTGTTTTTATTTAATACCGGTTAGAAATAAAATATACTTAGTCAAATTTTTTTTTGAGTAATTTGCAGTAATGGTGTAAAGTGAAAAAAAATGCTTCTCTTTTATAATCACACAGTATAAATGGGTCCATATGAATGAAAATATTGAATAGCGAATCATAATTTTGGGTTCTTGGCGTTAAAAATACTTCAGTTATTCCACAGATGCTGTCATTGGAGCTTTACTTGTATTGAACCAGAAACATTCGTTTAACTCATTTTAGTACAGCGGGTGCTCAGTCCTGCTCTTGGAGATCTACTTTATTGCAACATTTAGGTCCAACCCTATTCTTATGACTAAACACTGGTGTGCTGTACATCTTTAGGAGCATGATTCAGCAAACCTGTCTTAGCACATGGATCTCATAGGTTTATTTTCCTCTTCATTTGTTGTAAATAAAGCGTTTTCCATGCCTTGTGTACTCATTATTGCTTGTTCGTCTCTTGCAATTTAGATAAATGATATAGCATTAAACTCAAGGTGATTGAGTGTGATGCAGTAGTGAGGCGGAGGCCAGCCAATGGAGTGCCTTTCTCTGCCCCCCCGGCCCACAGAGCCTGCGCCACTCACACTGAAGACAACTGGACTGTTCTTGCTTTGTGGGATTTTGATGCACTCTGTTTGTGGACTTTAATGTTTCTATCTCTCAGGAGTTTGATATTGCACAGGAAGAGACAGCCCTAGTGGTGGGGGAGGGTCTTATTGCTCCTTGACGAGAGAATGTGAACTGGGAGGGTACATCTCAGTTCAGATGATAACATGTAAACTTGTAATGCATGCTCAAAGGCAGTTTATTCATTTTAGAAGTGTTTTTTGTTGCTTTTATACAATTGGTTTATTAGTAAAAATTACATTCAGCTGTGGCTGTTGGTTTTAGAGACATTTTTGAGGCCCACAGGTACTGGGCTCTTGTTGAAAAGCAGCTGTTTACTTATGTTCAGGAAGGGAAGGTATAGGTAGACTTTCAGAGATCAGCACTCTGGTTCCGTGTCAGTATTAACTGCTTGGTTTCCTCCCCTCTCTCTTTCTCCCTGCTGTTTGTGTTGCAGAATCCTGATGGGAAGATGATGCAGATTAATTTGACCGGGTTTCTGAATGGGAAGAATGCTCGGGAGTTCATGAAGGACCTCTGGCCGCTGTTACTAAGCGCCCAGGAGAACATCGCTGGTATCCCATCTGCCTTCCTGGAGCAGAAGAAAGAGGAGATCAAACAGAGACAGGTGATGTAGAGAAGTTGCGAACTCGCATCATCACAGTTTTATTGGTTGGGCTGTGATTGAGTTTGTGTTTGTATGACTGTATGTGTACAGCATGTTTGTAAACTCATCAAGTTGAGTGTTTAACAGTTTTTCTTCTCTTTAATGTTCAGATCGAACAGGAGAAACTTGCCTCTCTGAAAAAAATAGATGAAGATAAAAGAGAGAAGGAGAGCAAAGAAAGAGCTCAGTCAAAAAGCCCTAAAAGGTTGGTTTTGGATTTCTTTTTGCTGCCAGTCAGCATGAAACTTCTTGAACATGAAAAAAAATATAGGTTGGGACTTGATTTTGTCCATCTGGAGTTGACAACAATCCAATCATTTGCTAATTTCTGCAACCTGTTAAGTTTTTATTAAAGATTACGAGAACGCATGAATTAAAAAAAAAATGCACACAGATAAATCATCTGTAATAAACACTGCCTGCAGTATTCTATAAAAATATAACATTGCAAAATAACAATAAAATTGTCAATTTTCGTTTTTACAGTGACTTTAATCAATTGTCAGTGTAAAT